GCTTTTTTTCATCTCAACTAAAAACCTTAATTAATTGTAATGTTTAATTGGTCAAGCGGACCACGAAATTAGTGAATTTAATAAATAATTAGATTAATAACGTAACATTTTTAAAATATTTCTCAAATATATTGTTTATTCGTTAAGATATAAATTATTAGTGCAAGGAATTAATGTGTAAAATGCCACATTGGTGGAAAAAAAACGGCAAGAAACACTAAGCCAGCGAATATTCATAGCTTCCACTAAAGCAGCCTCCTCATTCCTTCGCCATTTATAAAAAAGTACCCTTTCTTCCTTCCGTATCAACATAGTTTATCCTTATTATGCGTTTTTTTATTGGTATTATAATTTATTTATATTTTATTTTTTATTTCTTTATTTTTAAATTTTTAATTTTATTTGCTTTTCTTTCTCTATTATTTTTATTTTTAATGTATATATCTATAATGTTGCTGTACCGTGTACTTTACATTATTAATCATTTTAAACTTCACTTTATTTTTATTTATTACTTCTTAACTTTTCCAAATGTACTTAAACATATTCTAGCCACCTTGGCTTTTCATTATTACTTTCCTTTTCTATTATTTTCAAAATCTAATGAACGTTTAGCATGTTTAGCTTTAACATGTTTTAATAAACCTGTGTAATATTCTTCTTAATTAACATTTTTTACAACTTTCATACAAGTTTATTTCATTTTAAAAATCGAATCATACATGAGATTATATCATTATAAAACAAAAATTTTAATAAAAGACAACCGGGCAAAAGAAAACCGAGCGTTACATAAAAAGCAACGCCATTGTAATAAACTTTTTATCAAGAATTAAAAAACAATTGAATAAATATTTAATCAATTTTAATTGGGGTTTATCGATTCCGAGGCTAGGCTTTTCCAATTTCCAAAAACGACGTCCTCGTTCTTTAGCAATTATCCTTTTACACATCTAACCTCGTTTCCTCTGATAGGGCGACCTTCATGGTTCCCTAATGGAAACTTTACAAGATCTGAGTGCTTCGGCGTAAACAGTTTGCGTTGTAATCAAGGCATCGAAGGATTTCGCACGAAACGGGTCAAAGAGACAATCACAATGGCTTACTTCGCCTCCGGGCTCGTCGATATCACAATAAATCGGAAGAAAATACTAAAATGCTTGTAATTAAAAATATTCTTTAAAATTATTATCAATATGAAGAACTATATACACAATTATTTCTTAAAAGGGATATAATAACAAATATAATTTTCTGCCGTCTTGAACTCTATTTTGTTTGATTTATGATGTATTTTGTTTAATGTGTGGTGTTTATTGACCGTTATTTAATTTATTTGGAGATCGTGAAATGCGGTCTGGTGTGATGTAGGATTCAGAAAAACATTTTCTTTATCGTGTCAACGTTTCGATATTTATTGAGATCATCTTCAGGGCTCAAAGTGTTTGTTTTCTGCGTAGTTGTGTCTTTCTTGTGTACCGGGTTGAGAGTGCCATTTTGTTTAATATTTAAGAAAATAAATTAGTATTTTGGTGCAAAATTGAAGATCCAATTAAACCCGTTCGAAAACCGGAAGAGAACAAAACAGAATATGTATTAATATGTACAGGCTAAAAATAAAATACAAATACTTTCGGTTAATTAAAAAACACAATAATAATAGCAATAATTTTTATGAGTTCGAGATTGAAAATCTAAACTAAAATATTAAAAACAGTTTTTTCGACTTTGTACTTTTTGTTTTTATTTTTAAACTACTCTCATTATTCACTTTAATAACAAGTTTTATTTTAATTGTATACTTTTTATTTAAAAAAAATTAAATGAAATAGAATGTGTAAGAAACTGTGCATGGCAACTTTAAACTCGTATTTCTGCCTTTTTGAATACAGACCTTTGTAAAAATTGACCCTTTTAAACAAAGAGTCGGCTGGTTGATTCGAATATTTTTTCAAAGGTTCCCTCGTAATTGCGAATCCTAATTTGCGCCTATGTATTCAAGCTCTTGTGATCAAACAGCATCGGAATGTTTTTTAAACAGAAAAGACGTAATAAGCGACGCAGTTGACACATTCGTTTCGAATATACTAACACCGAAAAGGCAATTGGCGCCAATTTATAAAATTTCACTCCAACCGACACGCCTTTACACGTGATCTCTTTTGAAAATGTTATATCAACCACTATTACGAAACATTTATTAATATTATTTATTTATTATTATATTTTATTTTATATTTATATATTATATATTTATTATATATATAATCTGCATAGATATCGTTATCTTGACTGGGTAGGTTTTTCAAATAACTTAGTGTTTTAAATTTACTAGTTTTCGTGGTCCTCTTGACCAATTAATATCTTTCAATTAATTAAGGTTTTTAGTTGAGAAAAAAATTCAGTGTTACGAGCGGGATTCGAACCCACGATCTTCGGCTAGATACGCCGCTGCTCTACCACTTGAGCTATCGGGACCTCGATCCACTCGGACTAACTTCCCATCTCAACCCCACCTTTTGAATTTTCCCTCCTTTTTGCCATTTTTCTTATTAAATTCACTAGTTTTCGCAATACACTTGACCAATTAATATCTTTCAATTAATTAAGGTTTTTAATTGAGTGATCGAAAAAATCTATTTGTCGCCGCGAATCAAATAGATTACATGACATTTGAAAAATGGCAGAAAGGAAGGAAAATTTAAAAAAGTAAAAATAACAAGCAAGGCCGCTGGAATGGAATAAGTTTTGCTTTCTGCATGTTGCTATTTCAATTTTCTGTAATGTACTAAATTCAAGAATATGGTCCGTGTATTTCCTGAATGGGGACGAATAAGATTTCTCTCTTGTGCCCTCTCGTTTTTCCTCATTGCTGTCAGCCCCGCGGAAAGAAACTGACGGCCTGATTTCCATAACGGGTCTGCTCATCGTACATGTCTATCTCGGAATTCCTTCATTACGAATCCCGATGTGCTCTGTGTGTTTATTCACGTGAAGCCCAAACCTAACTTTGCTAAATAACATTATTGACGTTTTTTCGGCCTTATCTTTCCGAAAATGTATAGCTATTAGAAATACCATATATTTATTTTTTCAAGCAAATACCAGTGTGCGTTGTTTGTTGTTGTTGAGGATGTCAACGGTTAAAACGTAATCACGGACGCAATGATATTTGTTTTTAAATTAATATTTTCGTCAAAATTGTAATAATTAGACCTCATTAAAAATTCCTCCGCGTTCAAAATGTAACGTGGCAACCAATTAGTTGACGAGTCATCACTATAAAAGAACGGGGTAAAAAACGTTTAAAAAATTCCTTTCCATTTGCATGAAAATTGCAAAACCTTGTTTTCTCCTAATTCACGATATTTTCTCATTTCACCCTCTCTAGTTACAACAAGCCCACGTGTTTATTCGAATGGTATCTTCTTATGTGTCTTCATGCCTGCTTATCGATCTTTTTTTCAGTCCCATGGTAAATATTTGTTTATCGTATAGTATATAATAAATGTAAGATTTCATTCGGATTGTTTTTGTATGTCCTTTTTCATACTATGAATCGTAAAACACACACATACACACCACACACTCATTTGTGCTTATAGATTACATTCAGACATAGAGCTAGTCACCGGGATTTTTGTTTTACTCCAGCCCCCTACATACTACAAACATATTATTAAACTGGACTATGTGAGGTACTCGATATCAGACAGAAACGACACTTAAACATTTTCCTCAGTATATACAGTCACGCCCCAGTGAAAGCAACGTGAATGGCGAATCACCAAACGTTGAGGAAAAAATTAGTAATAGTTAGTAATAAGTTGTATAAACAATGGGTGTTAATTTTTGTTATTGTTTTTAGACATTAACTCACAGAGCCAACAGTTGACTTTTCTAGAAAAATTGCTGATAATTTCTTCAAATTTGCGCTCATTAGGGACCACATGGAACCACTTAGAGTCTACATACAAAAAACCAATTCAACACAAATGTTAAGTTTTGTAAAGCAATATAATGTTTATAGGATATATCATATTAAATGTATGTTTTTTTTTATATTTGTCCTTGTAATTTCTACATCTATTAAAAATTCTCTCAAGTTTCGGAAAAGGTAAAGGTATGGTGTAGGTAAAATTTGATATTTGAGGAAATGTGGCAGGGAGTATGCCAATTTGCATTAAATAAACATAGCACGAATAATTTTTTTTTGTATGACTGTTATTACATATTTCTTCTGAATATATCTGCCTCGAGCTAATAAATACCCCTTTCTATGAATCCCAGTATCCACTGAAACATGTATCATCCATGTTCTTTATTAATTAAGGTTTTTAGTTGAGAGAAAAAAGTCAGTGTCACGAGCGGGATTTGAACCCACGAACTTCGGCTAGATACGCCGCTGTTCTACCACTTGAGCTATCGTGACCTGGATCCATTTGATCACTAACTTCCCATCTCAACCCCATCTTTTTAATTTTCCCTCCTTTTTGCCATTTTTCAAATGTCGTGTAATTTATTTGATTCTTGGCGTCAAATGAGATGGCCATGTAGAGCTTTAGTGACGTATACTTCATTTTAACTTACTAAATTTACTAGTTTTCGTGGTCAGCTTGACCAATTAATATCTTTCAATTAATTAATGTTTTTAGTTGAGATAAAAAATGGCAAAAAGGAGGGAAAATTCAAACGACGGGGTTGAGATGGGAAGTAGTGTCCGAGTGGATCGAAGTCATGATAGTTCAAGTGGTAGAGTATCGGCGTATCTAGCCGAAGGTCGTGGGTTCGAATCCCGCTTGTAACACTGCCTTTTTTATCTCAACTAAAAACCTTAATTAATTGAAAGATATTAATTGGTCAAGCGGACCACGAAAATTAGTGAATTTAACATGTTCTTATCTTCCCTAATCCCGGATAGTTAAATTCCTTATCAAATTATCTCCTGGCACTAATTCATTAATACAGAAACTATCCTCACTTCCAGGAAACAAGATATTATTGGCGACCTTGAGCTAAAGTTGTATTGTCCGGCAATCTCGTCGCCTCTAAATTTCCCACAAACATTTGACCACTTGCCGCACCTCTGGGACCTCAAGGTACTTCCTATCTATTATTTTATCCTAACGTCACTTTTATATAGTCCTATCCCATTCACGCTGATTTTCTCAAGAAATATTCTTCTATGTACCCTGCACTTGTGACTTCCATTCAGCCTGGTCCAATGATGATATTTCTTGATGACACCCACTCCTCTCTACCAAAACTGATGTTCACATAGCCTTCTGTTCGTTTGTACAACATATCTACAGTTTGGACTTATTATGTGTACGTCACTTTAGACAGTAACTACAAATTACTATTTCCACGACATTAAATGTACCCTACGTAGGATTGTTATAAAAGGTCAAATACTACCCACACACGAGATGTCAAACGTAGACGATTGTTATAGAACAAGTAAACATTACTTTATGTTACCCTAATCTACATATCATTTTTTCTATGCACTGTGAAGGCCGATGGGGTACTCGATATTCTGCCATCGGTCCTCTCACTTTCTCGATAACAATACATACAACTATATCCGTACGGTCATATACGTAAAATTACATACAATACATTACATCTAAAGGTTGGAAAATAACCCAGTTTCTTTAAAATTTGGAATATTGGACCCGACAACTCTCATGTCCAAGGACTGCTTTTGTATCGGGTGGCCTCCAACCCCTGGCACTCATCGACCAAGCGTGACACACTGAGCCACTGACCGACCTTCTCTACAAGCGAGACATCTGTGCGGGGTTTGTCACAAAAGCAGATGTCCGTGTGACATTCGTGTATGGCCTATCCTCAATCAATTTCTTTGCATTTCAGACCATCGGTGGGTCATTGCTCCGTCGTCCTCTTGATGTGCAAGAGTTTCTCGGAAGGTACGGCCCATTGATGCTTCCACCGTTCTTTACTGCTCGTACTGCACTAGACTGGATTGCGGTGGTTCGGACTGGAGGGCAAGACGACCCAGCTTTCGCCCCCTCGTCTATACGTTCATTGCCCTCCAGCGTATTACTATATGTTTTGACCATACTTGAAAATAAAAACCAAAATGAAAAGGGTCCAAATTCATTTATTAGATACAACTGATTGGTAAAAGTTTTTTACGGTGCCCAATATTTCGAATTAAATTGAAGTTATGGCTTAATTTACAGGTTTACTGATCATCAAACATAACATGTATACAGGCGAATCTATAAAAAAGTTTCGGATCGTTGTTCACTATGGGTTAATACAGTACATAATATCAGGTAGAAATAGAAAATAAGGAGAGACAATCTTCGACGACTATCTTTTACTACAGAATAAATTCTTATCTATCCAGTAACAAAGTCAATTTGTGATCAATTGTAGAACATCGCTTTTATCTTTCACCTCCTTGCTGAAATAGTGGTTATCAATCGTCCGAGATGTGTTGATACCAGTTTTCACTGTCGTTTATTAAAACAACCCTCTCGAGTCCACCGAGACATTTTTTCCTTGCGAAACGGTGCCAGACAAATGGCCGGAGATGATGCTAACACCCGTCAGCCCAGCGAGAAAGAACTTGTTTAGATTTATATCCGCCTTCCATCCCCATCTCGACACTTTATAAGGGGAAGCTGGGATCTGGTATAATTTAGCCCACGGCTCAATGCGTCTCCGCTGTCTACGGGTTGTTTTAAACAATTTTCGTCTTTGTTGTTCAAAGTCCTAGTCGGGTTACAAATTGGTGCGCCGGAGTCCACGTTCAGAAGGATGGTGCGAGGTCTGTTACATTTATAAGAATTATTTCTAAATGATACTTTCTAATGAAAATAATGTTACCATATAGTTAGAAATAAGAACGTACTTTTTGTAATGAATATATTTAAAAAAAATTTCATAAAATTTTAAAGGTGTCATTGAATAGAATCATTTTTTCCTTTTAAAGGAAAAATATAATAACAAATTATACCTGATTGACCTGACTTTAAAAATGTGAAAAAATACGTATTAATTTGTTTTAGTTTTACATAATTTGAATTTAATTGGTAAGATAGTTGATCTTTGAACAATACAACAGATATATTAATTAATCTTTATAAACATGGAAATTAAACAAAAGCAGTAGTTTGGCTTATTTATAAATAGTAACATTTCTTGCAGTCTTCTTATTTTTATTGCAAATTAAATAAACTCTAGAGTAGATAGAAAATTTAACTTTTTAAACATTTATATTTAATTTTTTAATTTAAGGTAAGTTTACAATAAAGTATTTAAATAAGTAACGATGTTTTCTTATATTTCGACCTCAACAATTTAACTTATGATTTTTCCTTCTCGAAAGAGGGATAAAAGGTCATCTCAAAAAAACAACAACCAGTTTTTCTTCCAATCTACACGTTCGGATTTATTTTAATCCTTCATCAGGTGATCCGTTGATATTTCCCATGATTAGAGTAGTCCTTCCTCACCTGAGGAAGGATTAAAATAAATCCGAAACGTTGTGGATTGAAAGAAAAACTGGTTGTTGTTTTTTTTGAGAAGACCTATTATCCCACCTTCGAGAAGGAAAAATCATAAATTATGTAAATAAGAAAGGATTTTTTCCTTAGGTTATTTTAAACAACAAATCGAAATTTTACTTGAAATTCTTTTAGTTATGTGTTAGTACGATTTGGATATCTTGAATGAACAATTGCAAAACAATAAAAAATGCTGTACTTAATAAGAGAGAAATCCGCAGGCTCATCAAAAGAAGACATTTTTACGTATACGTGATTTTAATTTACATATATGTAATTAAATAAATGCACGATTTTTTATGGATTAAAGCTTAGTTGATGAAATTCTGAAAATTGTTCATTCCGATATTTTTGGCCTGCTTAGATTGTTAGTTTGTCAGACGCGTTCAATACGTTTTGATAGATAACAACGTGTCTTCACTACACTACAGACAACATGGGGAAAAGTGATAACATTATTTTTTATCAGATAATTTACGTCAAAGTTACTTTTGTGATTTCGCATGTTTATCGATTCCTTTATGTTATTTGTTGAACCTTTAAACCATATTCTTTTATACTTTCCAAGAATTGGGTAAACGGCTATAATAATTAAATAGATCTCGTGTTTCAGTAGTTACACATAGAGCAGTTGTCGGTTATTTCAGCTCTCTAGGGTTTACAATACACGTTCTATAATTCCTACAACATGGTGCAAAATAACCCAAGGTATTTTAATACCTTTGGTGTACAGATGAATGTAGTCACGATTATTTTTCAAAATGCCTTATTATGTTTTTTTTTTAAACTCCATAATAAGTCAAACTCTCACCTAGTTCAAAATTGTCAGAAACCTTAATTGGTCAAGTCACACACTCAAAGACTGATAAATAAGGTGTACGTACGCAACCTTTGATCCTCATAAAAACTGTTGTTAAAAACTGTTGGTCCTTTGGCTAAAGGATCGGGTGCAGACAGACGAATCTTATCAGGCTATATAAAGCGATCGTGAGACCAAAAATCGATTATGGTGTAACGCTTATGCATCAGCTAAAGAGAGTAAAGATGGTACATCTTGTGCTGAACTTGCTTTGGGAGCCTTCCGCTTGAGCCCGGTCGATAGCCTCTTTACTGAAGCAACTGAGCACTCTCTCTCGGTATGTCCAGCATAGATGCCTAGGTATGCATCGAAAATACTAGGAAGTAACTCACACCCATTAATAACTTTTCCCTCACGACCAGTTTTTGACACCACAATAGAAAATCCTATCCTGTTCGCATGGCAACAAATTGCTAACGCTTATCAAAATATTCTATTCGACATTTCCAAAAACCAGGCAATCAGACATTTCAAGTCCGTCTTGGATGCTTCCTACACGAAAGTGAGGTGGGTGCTGAAGAGGTTTCTCAGTGAAATGCAGAATCCTTACTGTATTTTCACTGACAGATCAAGCAATTTAAATCGCTCAGGGTCAACGGTTGTGACCTATCTACTTGGTATGTATTGAGGGACTGGCTGAAAAACATATACTTATAACATGTTACTTGCTATACCATATACATCAGAGTTCCAACTACCCAAGCCCTTGCATGAGATGTTCTCCTTGTTTCACTGTTTAAATTCTTAGATCGAACGGAGTTTATGAAGGAATAAGGTCATGTAGAACTGGTTTCGTTGGGGGAGGAACTAGGGGGCTCCTGTATGGGGGTGCGCTCTCGGGCGGGTGGTTCCGTTGGGGACGCTTGGCTGGCCGAATGGGTGAGTAAGTCGGGCAGGTTTAGCCCACGGAAGTTAGGGGGTTGTAGACTTTTCTGTAACGCAATATATGCTATGTAAATGGTTTTTATCCACCTCTCACAAAAACGTGATTATAAGAAAGGCCGGGCTGACCATGGGGAAAGTGATATTCCCTGATAGACTCTCATCCTTTCCTTCTTCATATTCAACTGCAATGATAACTTTTACGCACCAAGAAGCCTAAATGACTCATAGTGCTTAAGGTGAAAATGGCGAGGGTGCTCTATCTCATAGTACGGTATGAAATCATTATACATAAGAAACGGACCTTAATTTTTCATTGCGAATGTATGAAAATATTGAATAGATTCACTAGTTTTCGTGGTCCGCTTGACGAATTAATATCTTACAAATTATTAAGGTTTTTAGTTCAGATAAAAAAGTCAGTGTCACGAGCGGGATTCGAACCCACGACCTTCGGCTACATATGCCGCTACTCTACCACTTGAGCTATCGTGACTTCGATCTACTCGGAGACTACTTCCCATCTCAACCGCACCTATTGAATTTTCCCTCCTTTTTGCCATTTTCTAAAATGTATTTGAGTTTGGGCGACAAATGAAATGGTCACGGAGAGCTTCAAAGTGAGAATCAAAGGTGGGGTTAAGATGGGAAGTTAGTGTCCTAGTGGATCGAAGTCACGATAGCTCAAGTGGTAGAGTAGCGGCGTATCTAGCAGAACGTCTTGGGTTCGAATCCCGCTCGTGACACTGACTTTTTATCTGAACTAAAAACCTTAATTAATTGAAAGATATTAATTGGTCAAGCGGACCACGAAAAC